CACAGCTGTTAACCAAAAGGTCAGTAGTTCAAATCCACCAGCCACTCCTTGGAAACCCTATGGCGCAGTTCTACTCTGTCCTATAGGGTTGCTCTGAGTCAGAATCGACTAGATGGCAACGGGTTTGGTTTTTGTGCTTTTTCGTTTTTTTTGGTGGAGTGCTACAGTTATTTCCATTTCCTGTTTCCCTTGAATTCTTACTCATATCCTGCTGGATCCACTTCAAAGTAAAATACCTGAATCCCAGCAACCTTTCAGGTGTTCATCATTAGAGAGAGCTATTGAAAAAATACTAAGCCATAGGAGCACCGTGGTTAAGTGTTTGGCTGCCAATCAAAGGGTCAGCAGTTTAAATCCAACAGGCGCTCCTTGGAAACCCTATGGGGCAGTTCTGTTCTGCCCTATAGGGTCTCTATAAGTCGGAATTGACTTGACGGCAATGGGTTTGGTTTGTTTGTATTTGTTTAATGTGGATTATTCTGTAAAGTGAAAAGCACCCTTCTTTCAAATGATCTTTTGTGCAATTGTAAATTTTTATATCCTAGAAATGCTAAAAGACAGGTAAACTGCTCCAACTGAACAGAAATATTTAGTTCCTGTGTATAATATTTTCACTGAAAATCCACATGACTCATAACATTGTTCATATCTGTCTCTATTTAAAATGCTTGTCTGTTCTATTCCAAAATGGCCTTTGTGCTAAACTTTCTCCTGTTACGTTCTGTTACTCTGTCCCATTAGCCACATCACCTACGCCCAGAAACACTTTTCATTCCAAAATAACATGCTATATATTAATATATTTATCACAAAGAGTGACTGTTATGGATTGAATTGTGTTCCCTAAAAAGTTATGTTGAAATCCTAACCCCTGAACCTGTAAATATGACTCTGTTTGGAAACAGGGGTTTTATTTTGTTATGCTAATGAGGTCATAACAGAGTAGGGTGGGTTCTAAACCTAATCACTTCCAAGTGGTGTCTTATGAAAAGAGCAGAATAGACACAGACATACACAAAGAGGGAAAACAGATGCTGTGTGAGGACCGTCTATAAGCAAAGAAACACCAAGGATTGTCAGCAATCAGCAGATTCAGTAAGAGGCTCACAGAGGAGATGACTGAGCCCCAGATTTGGACTTTTAGCCTCCCGAATTGTGAGAAATTAGTTTCTGTTCTTTAAGGCCACCCACTTTGCTGTCTTTTGTTACAGCAGCACTTGATGCTAAGATAGTAGTTAAATGAATAAATTATTATTAATGTATTGCGACTTCTATAAAAAAAAAAAGAAACCAAACCCATTGCCATCAATTACATTCCTACTTATAGCAACCCTACAGGACAGAGTAGAACTGCCCCATAGGGTTTCCAAGGCTGTAATCTTACAGGATCAGAATGCCACAGCTTTCTCCCTTGGAGTGGCTGGTGGGTTTGAACCGCCGACCTTTCAGTTAGCAGCCTGGCACTTAACCACTGCACCACCAGGACTCCAATAAGGCCACCTGGCCGAGAACGACACAGAAAGCAGCAATTGTCAGTGAAGACTCCACTAGAAGAGATGCCCCGTAGCTTGAATACTTCCGCTGCAGCGCCCCAAACCAAATCACACCCGGATAGCCAGCCTAAGAGTCAATTCATCTCCCCTGTGACTAAATCCAACTCTCTTTTAGAAGGTTCTGGATAATGCCTATTTGTGGAAATGAGCACCAACAATGGCAACAAACCAAACCCTCACTAAAAGAATCAAGGAAGCTTCACAATGGTATCTGTTTCTGCCATTCACAGAGGCTGAAACTTTTAAATCCCTCTTTCTGTTTTATTTCATACATCCATAGTTCAGGAACAGCTGCAAAAGATGCTCCCAAGATGAAGCTTTGTACGGCAAGCTGTAGCCTAGACCTAACTTTTATGGCTGAGTTATAAAGCTTTGACAATTGCAGCTCTAGGTACTAAGACAGTAATTAAATGAATAAATTATTATTAATGTACTGAAGCACCTAGAAAGAAAGAAAGAATGAAACCAAACCCACTGCTGTTGAGTCGATTTCTACTCATAGTGACCCTACACAATAGAGTAGAACTGCCCCATAGGGTTTCCAAGGCTGTAAATCTTTACAGAAGCAGACTGCCACATCTTTCTCCCACGGAGCAGCTGGTGGGTTTGAACCACTCACATCTGGTTAGCAGTTAAGCGCTTAACCACTGCATCACTAGGGCTCCTTTTGCGGAATCTAGTAGGTACTTGATAAATACTTATATAATAATTTAAATAAGAATCTTCTAAGTCTTTGAAGTAGGCATTTCAATGACAGTGATCATATTAGGAAAAGAGAGGTTTCTGATGTGATCAAATCACAACACAACACAACGGGTGTGACTACTTAATTCCCATTTATAAATTAAAGGAAAAAGCTTGTGTTCTCCAGTTATACCCACCGTGGTACTCAAGTTCTCTTTTTATCTGAAAATAATCAAAAACACAAAGAATAATTAAAAAAAAAAAAAAAGCAAGTGTCCAGAATTGAAATTCATGTCAGTGGGTCTCCTCATATCTGACTGTTTTTTAGCAGGGTCTGCGCTGTTCCTG